TTGATTCATGCATTTTTTAAAAAGTTATAGCATCATAATGTTAAAAAATGTAAAATATAATATCAAGAATTTTTTCAAAAAAATAGCATATTTTTGCATACGGTAGTCATTTTCACCATGAAGACAAGTCCAGAGGTCAAATTTTTTTTTTTCAAATTAAAGTATATTACATTATCTTTAATTTAACATATATATAAAAGTGTCAGTCTTTCCGGAACATTTTCAAAAGTTAAGTTGAAAAAGTTAATTTTTTGTAAAAAAGTTGTCTTTTTAAATCTCCCCCTGTGGGCAGATAAAGGGTCAGATTTACAAAAAAAATATATCAAATGATAGGTAAAGACATCAAGCATCTATATAAAAAAAAATTATATTGATATGTTCATTTTTGAAAAAGTTACGGCAGTTTTTAGTAAAAAAAATTGAAAAAATTTCGAAAATTAGCGATTTTTAAATTTGTAATTTTTTTGGAGGTTTCCCCCATTTACAGGGAACGAGGGAATTTTTTTCAATTTTTAAGGGTAATGTCTTCGACTAGATACGATTTGTGATCTTTTGACGTATCGTTGAAAGAAATCCGTTCGGTGAGAGCTGAGAAAACGTGGTAACAGACATAAAAAAAAAAAAAACACATCATAGTAAAACCTTCTCAGCTTCGCATCGAAGCTAAAATAGTTATTTATGTCAAATCGTCTAAATAGTGATCTAATATGTATTTAATTTTTTTATTAATTAATAAAATGATCTTATCTTCAAAAGAATTTTCTTTTTCGAAATCTTGAAATCTAAGTACTAAAACAATATTTTCAACTTACATAAAATAAAGTCTAAACTTCTTACATTTTATGTATAAATTACAAAAAAAAAAAATTATTTTTAAAAGTACACTTAATTTAAACTAAACAATACACAATTCTAGTTGATATAATTTTTTTATAAAGCTGCAAATAGAAGTATTTTTTGTATATCTTATATATCTTTTTATATATTATTCTTTTATCTTTAATTCGCTACTTACCAAAGATAAAAAAGTGTAATTTTTTTTTAACTATCATGAACTTGTAAAAAGACAATATTAAATTTCCAGCAAAACCTAAGACTTAAAATCAGGTTTAGATGATTTTACATGAAATAACTCAATAGAGATTTATTTATAAAATAAATTAATATTTTTTAACATTAGCATATTATGTTATTCAACACGAGTTAATAATTCATTAAATTTTATTAATATCTTCATTATATAATAAATATCTTATTTATTTATATATTTTTTATGTATATCGATGATAAATTATTTAAAAATTGTACATTTATACTGAATAAAAATTATAATTTATGTTCAGTATATTATATAGATATTTTCAAATATGGATGATCCAGGTATGATATTACTTTATTATAAAATTATAGTTACCTCTGATCCACGACTTCTAAGATTGGTAAGTCATTTGACCCTTTCCAAGTAATATTCAAAGGCTTATCTCCTACAGCAGAACATACTACTCGAGCATCACTATTTAGTTTTGCTTGAATTTGTTGAATTTTTTGGATTATCTTCGCGGGAGCTAATATATTAGATATAATTTAACTAAATTTTTACATAAATCTAAAATAACTTGTTATACCAAAAATTAGCAACAAATTACCAATCATTTTTTATGGAATTAAATTGTATTATCTAATACCAATAAAAGATTAAAATTACCATTTATTTTTAGCTGTATGACTTTACTTAGCCCAGAACCAATTCCATTTTTTGCTTCACACATATATTTTCCTTCATTTACTTTATTAGGGTGAAGAAACTCCAAAGTTCCATTCCTAAAGAAATTAACGTTTGGTTCGTATAAGAAATCTTTGAACTCTTCCGTAAAATCTCCTAATTAAAAATTTAAAAAAGTTTAACTAGTATTTTCTTATATTTTTTATGATATCTTTTTTATAATTTAAATCTTTTATCTTCGATGCGAAGTTTTTGATTTTATCATGATGTGCGTCTTTTATGTATATCTACGAAAATTCACAACATTCAATGAACCAATTTGTTTTGTTTATGCGTTAAAAAAATCTGATTTTGATTTAGTTGAATCTACCAACGCCGAAAGTTTATATAAATATCTTAAAGTTACGCTACAGTAAAAAAAATTACATTTTCAAAGAATTGTTTTTTGCATTTAAAAACTGCTTTAAAATTTTGAAAATTTTCCAGAATGTCTGCACAAACTATTTTTATATCAAATTAAAGCTCCTAAAGTGTTCTACAATATGATAAGAAATCCATCCTACAATTATTCTAAAATTATGAAAAATCGGCCATCAAATTATCAATTGTATATTACAAATATTATTGTGAAATTTAACAGATTAGCACCGAAGCATTTTTTTATGATAGTGATAGTAAATTACTTAAGAAATAAATTAAAAACTACTGTATTCTTCTTCTTCTTCCTCACCTTAATCCCAACTACTTGGGGTCCGCCACCCTTATCCTAATTTTCCATTTGACACGATCTTCCACATCGTCTACGCTCACATCACCTGTCCTAATATCGCATTCAATAGCATTCCTCCATCTCTTTTTTGGTTTTCCTCTACCTCTCCTTCCTTCAACATTCATTTATATAACTTTTCTTAATCTCCTCATAACATGACCAAACCATCTAAGTCTATTACTGTATTCATTTATTAATATATTATTTTTATTTTACCAAAGGCTTTTTTCCAAGCAATAGTTGGATTTGGATATCCTTCGGCCTGACAATGTAGCATGCAAGGTGATGCCAAAATCACATTTGTATCTTGTGGTTCAACTGTCCACTTCGGTGAAACTAATTGTAACATAATTTTAATATAAAATAATATAAGTTTTTATTTAAAATTAGTTCTTACCATTTACTGTCAAAGGGACAGTAAATTTTTCTTCTCCAGCTACATTTTTTGCTATACATGTGTAATTACCAGCATGCTCTGTTGTGATTCGTTCTATGATCAATGAAGATGAGTATTCATCATGATGTCTTGTTGTTGTTCCAATACCTAAATCACTATTTACTTCACCATCATTTTTTATCCAAGTAAATGTAACTGGAAGATCACCTTCTATTATTTGGCAAGGAATAGCAGCTCTCATACCTTCTGCTAATAAGTTTGTCATTGGAGGAATTGGTAAAATTTTCGGACGAACTAAATGAATGTAAACAAATTACATATAATATTAAAAAAAAGTAACCAAAGTAAGCTTAAAGCATAAAATTACCCAATACTTGCACGTCTACATCTCTTCTAGATGAATGTCCTTGATGATTTTTTACTATACATGCATAAATTCCTGCGTCTGTTTGTCGTTGAACTTTGTCAACAATTAATGTTCCATTACTGTAAATTTTTTGGCGTTGATTAAATGGTACACTATGTCCATCTAAAAAAAATGTAATTTTAATTTAAATAATGTATTTATGTAATAAATATCTACCTTTTTCCCAATTAATTGATTCTATTGGATATCCACCAACAGGACACTTGATAACAAGCTGTTTTTCTGATATAACGTGTACACTCGGCATTTCTCTTATAAATGGTAATCCATAAACATTTACTCTAGAAGAATGTGATACTTGTGATATTTCATTGTGAGCTATACAAGTATATTCTCCACCATCTTCGACTTTCAATGATGATATGTTAACATGTGCAATGACGTCATCATCGGCAGTGACATACTGACCAATCAAAATTCTATTCGATTCAGGAATGGGAAATCCATCTAAGGTCCAAGTAAATTGAGGTAAAGGATTCCCAGATGCTACGCATTTTAATGATAAAGATGGACCTGGTTGTAATGTTTGTTCTGTAAACCAATAAACTAGTTCTGGACCTAAATCTAATTGATACAATTATAAATTTAAATAAAATAACAAATAATACATAATACATTTTTCAAACCTCCTAATAAAATTTGCGCATTGTCAAAGGCTGTATCCCAATCATTAATTCCAAAACATTGGTAAATGCCTTGATCATCTTTATTTAATGATGATAAAATTAGTATATGCTTATTAGCTGTTGATGTTACACGCACCCTTCCATTAAGATGCATTAATGGTTGTCCATTCTTATACCATAATATCCTATTGATTGGATAGCCATTGACTGTACATATAAATTGAGCAGATTTCGTAGAATCTGGTTGCAAAGAACTAACAATCTTTTGAGGCACTATGTTTACAGACAATGGTTCTAAAAATTTGATATTGTATAAAAATTTGTATTGTATGGTATAGTTATCTATAAATACCGGAAACAAAAACGCTGTGATGAACTGTTTCTTCACCTATGCTATTATTAGATATACAAACGTATTTTCCATCATCTTCTAATCGAACTTTATTTATTTTCAGTAGTCCAGAAATTGGTATTGATACCCGTGAGTCATATTCAATAGCAATTAGTAAATCGCCATTTTCCCTATACCATCTGTATGTAGGTACAGGAAAACCTTGCGATAAACAAGATAGTGTTAGATCTTCACCTATTTTAACGTGTTTCCTACTATCAGATTCAACTATTACCCTAGGTCGTTGATTTCCCATAGGTTCTTAAACATCATAAAAATTAATTGAAACACGTATAAAAATATACAAATATTTTTTTGTTAATTACCATTTACAGTTATATGACCAGGAATACTACTGGATCTAGTTTCGCCAGTTAATTTATGCACCGTTCTACACGTGTAACTTTTAAACCCATCACTTGAATCCACATTATTAATGTACAGATCTCCATTACTAAGTACCAAATACTTTCCATCCGTATCAACATTTGGATAGAAGTGTATTATGTTATCTTGAGTCCATGATGAAATAATTACATAGTTAGATGCATACGCAGAAATATGACATCGCAATAATGCTGTATTTCCAGAAATTACATATTCATCATAAACTTGGACATCATAGTTTTGATTCATAACTAAAAACATAAAATAGTTGTCTTTATATTATTTATGATACCAAAGATAATTTTATCAATTCTTATACTTACCAGCATTAACATTAACAATGCCACTTATAATTTGACCAACAATATTCGATGCTTTACATCTGTATTGTGCGCTATGAACATCATGCATGAATGAGCTGGGTCCAAAACTTAGAAATACTAAACTTCCATTTTGGTGTATTATTCTGACTTTAGGAATTGTCATTACTCTCGTTCCGTCCTCTAAATGAATTATGAAATAAAATAAAAGTTTCATAAAATACTCACCACCAAATAAATAATTCTGTTTTATATTATTTTTAATTACCTAAATACCACTGTATATGTGGATTAGGATTTCCAAAAGCTGTACAATCAATTTTAACACCAGTATCATTAGAAAATTGAACATTAAACGGTGGTAACAAACGAAATACCGGACCAATGAGCTCGTTGTTTGCTTTGGTAGCTGAAAATATTTTAATTATTTGAGACAAAAAAATAATGAAAACAGGATATGAGGACACTTTTCCTATTAACAGAAAAAAAATGTGTGGTAATTTTATCGATCCGGATAACGAAGTAAAAATGATGAATTATAAAAATACATAAATTTAACTGTGTAAACGTCCTATGGAAATTGGCTACTGCAGATAATTTCCTGTCAGTAGTAAAGCTGCCATGAAATGTCCAACCATCGAATATTGATTAATGTACTAGGTAAATAATTTTTAGACATAAGCCTATTCTAATCTACTGTACTCTGATCAGAATACTACAACGATTATACTGAATTAAAATATAAAAATTATTATTTTGTTTGAATACTTATTAATACTAAATTAATTATACTTACATGACAATAAGATTAAAATATATACTTGTAGATACAATTTATTCATTATCAGGTCATTCTGTAATATAAAATTTAATATTAATAATAAAATAATTTTCTTCAATGAAGTTATTAAATTTTATTTATTTAATCATTTGGTAAATCAAATAATTACACTACATAAACAATTCCCTTTTAATTAATAACTCAACTACTTTCAAGACACCAGATTCTTAAATTTGATCTAGGGTTCAGATTTTAAAATATTTAATTTATGTATGTGTTTTAAACGTATATAGAATTCGATAGTTAACTTTAATAGAGTACTAAATTTTTAAAACTCTTATTATAAGATAGATCTTCTAAATACAATTTACTCATTATAAAAAAACCTATTATTTTCTTCGTGTAGTTATCTTCTTTTACCTTGCATTTATCCCAATACTCGGGGTTGGCCAAGTTCGCGTAGTTATAATTTGATAAATATAAATAAATTTAGAATATTAAGAAATAAATTAAATGTGTACTTATAATTCAAGTACAAAAGTTAATTTTTTTTTACTCTTGAGATCTATAAAAAACGTTCTGTTGCTTTACAAAGCAATGAAATATAAAATAAATTTGAGTTATACAATAAACGTATATTGTAAATTTATGTTATTAATTTAATTAAAATATCATACTTGTATTAACTGTATAAATGTATAGGTATCTAAATACAAACACTGCACACCAAAAAAAAAATGTATATTTTTGGTACAATCAAGTAATAACGCTTAAAACGTCAAGAAATGAAAAATATTATCGTATCATGAGTATTTCAGAGGAAACAATTATTATTTTACGTCAATCAATTTACATCATGTATAAAGAGGCCTTCGAAATTTCCTAAAAAAATATCCCATTACAGTAATAAAAAATAAGATGCATATTTGTAACAATTGAGTTAACATGAATAAAGTTTTGAATGATTTGACATGCATAACGATATCAATTCTCTGGAAAATAATTTTAAACTGACAAAATATTGGAATGAAGTATAATAAGATACATGAGAAATTCTTATATTTATTGTTAATAAAAAGCTGAAAAATACAAATCTTGTACGAGTCTCATTACAAATTAATTTATACCCAAACATTTTGAAGCGTGTCTTCATTTAAAAATTTATTTATCAAACTGTTAAACAATATATATATTAACAGTACATATACCAATGACTTAAATAATATGAATTTTTCTAAAATATTACAAGCAGTTTTTTTAAATTTTATTTAAATAAATATCTCTAATGTTATGAAAAATCAATGAATATTTCACTTTATGAAGTTATAAAATATAATTCGAAAAAATTATTATATAATATTATTATCAAATTATTGATTTATGTAGAAGATAATACGAAACTATTTTAAGTGGCACTGACATCTTGCTTTAAAATTTAACGTAATGTAATGAGTAGGCTGTGAAAAACACAAGCACGAGAAAACTTTTAGGAAAACAAAGTCGAGAAAGTGGCACGTAGATGAATAATTTAAATATTTTGATGGAAACAACATTTCGAACTTTGGCTTTAATGCGCCAAACGATTAACTCGTGTATAATAAACGTTATCCGCGCTGACACTCAAGATACGAGTATCATACTCGTATATTATGAAATATAATACTAAGAATAATGAACATCATCGTCAAATAAGGTATTCACAAGTGAAGGATTATGTATCCCTGATGGTAAAAGTTATGAATTCTCTGATGTAGTTATACAGCCCCATCCAATTATACATGTATATACAAAACTTACTATACCACTGTGTCTTTTAAACACCAAGATTAAATAAAGATAAGAATTCACGGGTTTCGTATAAATAGGCATGTTTCAATGTGTGCGACTGCAACAACCACTGTCAAACTAAAAAAAAAACTAACATTCATTTATTTATCAGTCTACTTTTTTAGGATACTCGTATGCCAGCCGTCACGTGATTTCATGCATGTTTTAATGACACTAAAGCCCCGAGGTCACAGATACGTGTCAGAAAAAAAATAATTCCTTTTTTTTTCTCCTATTAAAACCCTCTAAAATAACACCACTGCACAACTTATATTGTACGTAGGATAACTGTAATAGTTGGATGTCGTTTAAAGTACAGTATAGTTGTCTTTGTATAAGCTTCAAAAGAATGTAAGCCGTCGACCGCGCAAGTTTCTACCCGCAATTGTTGTGACATTGTTAGAGATTTCCCCAAGTATCTCAATTTCTACTCAGTTTTCCATTGCTTTCACATAGACACACGCAAAAGAAGTTTCAATCAATGTATATACTAAACCGCGCTGGGATCTGGTCGTATATATGTGGGCAAAGAGACTGAGTGAAGTAATGATGACGGGGATTGTTGATACTGAGTCTGCGAAGGGTAGATTGACTGTCATGGGGCATCCCTGTTCAGCATTCTTCTCTCCACGCACCGCGTCTTATCCAAACGACCGCCGGACTAGCCGTGCATTAAACATGCGCACGGGTCATTTTTTATTAATGTTTGTTCGATTTTTTTACTCGTTCTCTTCATATAAAAGCACTATGTTGTTGTAACATAATCATTATTAACTTGAATTTCGGCATGTAAAAATTAATTAAACAATGGAAATAAAAATAAAGATATTTTGCTATAACGCTATCATTTTTCAGCTCAATTAAACCTTAGAGACATGTGGTCGTAATTATAGTTATTCCTCGGGGTAACAGCCGATGGTACTTACACATGTACTTGCGTGGGGGTGTACGAACAATGAACTCTAATTGAAAAGTTAAGTTTTGACTCTAGAAACACGTTCGAGTAAAATTTTATAAAAACGAAAGATAATAAAAATGATACATAGAAAAAAGTTAAAATAGGATCTCTTATTTTTATTATAATAAAAATACGAAAATAACATTTCATGAAATACATCCTTTTAGAATTGTTTTGTACAGATGAAAATAATATTATTGACTAAAATATAATTTTGCGGTTATTTAAAATATAACACAGCAATATTATATTACAAAAAATTGAAATTAATTCTCTTAAATTTTTCATTTTTAGTTAATAATTGCGCATAGCTTCGTATTTAAATTTTGAATAAAATTTAATATATTATATTTAATTCACTTTCAATTTAATTTATATATTCACAAGAAAACTTTTTCTTTTGTTTGAAGTTTGTATTATTTTAATTAATATAATTAGATTTTCATTAATCTTCATTCATTAAATATCTTGACTTGTAGTTTTAGGTGTCAGTTAAAAAATATATATATAAAACACATAAACTCGAAAGTTATTCAATTATTTTATAACAATATCATACGTTAAAATTGACTTACATTTTTATTACTTAATAAATAAGAGTAAAAGTTTGTACATAGATTTTGAAATATTAGATAAGACTTGATATGATCCGAAGTATCAAATATGAGAGGTTAGGTGCTCTTTAACGGTAGAAAAATGAATTTCTCAATGCTCTAATAAAAATTAAATAAAATTCAATTAAACTGAAATTTTATTTTTATTTACACAAAAATTTAATGTATCTAATTTTAATTAAATTTTGCTCGGACAATGGATTATAAATATACAAAATGCTATATACTTAAGTATAAATTTTAAAGAAAGGCTACTAGGATTTAGGGAATATTAAATAATTTAACTAACATTATGAGCTAATCAACAAATTGAATTTATAATAAATATGAAAAAACAAGTTTTTAAACGATTTTATGTTCGATATTATAGTAGTTAGTTATTAAAATAGAAATAAATTGACAGTAAATAAGTTATAACATTTTAATAAAGAATAAAAAATATAAATAAGATATCTCATAAATATTTTAAATCTCGAAAATATATCATAAATACATATAATAAAATTGTCACCGGACCGATTTCTTTCAACGATGCTTCAAAAGATCACAAATCTGATCAAGTTGAAGACATTAATCTTAAAAATTAAAAAAAAATTTCTTATTCCCTGCAAATGGGGGAATTTCTAAAAAAAATTACATATTAAAAATCGCTAATTTTCCATTTTATTTTATTTTAAAACTGCCATAAGTTTTTCAAAAATGACCAAATCTTATCATTTCGTATATTTTTTTTTATAATTTGACCCTTTTACATTTTTCATTCGACATAATTTTTTTTAAATCGGACCATTTTCTTAATACAGGAGGGGTCCAAAACTTAAAAATGCATAGAGAAAGCAGAACTTTTTCAACTTAAACTTTGAAAGTGTTCCAGATACTTAGACACTTTTATACATATCTTAAATTAAAGATAATATAATATAATTTATTATGAAAAAAAAAAAAATTTCGGACTTTATTTTGTCTTTACGGTAAAAACAGACTTCAAAGTTAACAAACAATTTTTATATTTTTCCTTTATAAAGCTATAATTTTTTGAAAAATGTATGGATCATTATATTTTTTTTTAGATGAGTATTGTTTATATTTATATATTATTAATATATATATATATTTATTTATTTATTCGTACATTACACTTATAAATCATAAAACTTGTAATCAGAATATAAATAAGGAAATAGGAAATCATGTAGCGTTTGGAATATTCCATTAATTTATTAAAATTAAACATTATCTACACTTTTGCATCGAAGCGTTCTTTATGATAGTGATTTTAATCACTATCAGACATTATCTATACTGTATCCAACTATAATACGTCCCCACTGTGCTGGGTTTTTTTGTTAAAACTACCATAACTTAGAGAAAAATTAACAATTCAAAATAATTTTTATTTTATTGCAATTTTAGGTATTTTCCTTTCATTTCATATGAATTTATTAAAAATCTGACCTTTTACTTGCCCTCAGGATGGATTCAAAATAGAAACTTCTGCACAAAAATTTAACTTTTTCAACTTCAGTTTTGAATATGTTCCAAAAATAATCCGAGCTTCAAACATTTGTTGAAATAAAGCTTATGCTATGTACTAGAATTTCAAAAAAAAAACAATTTTCCGGACGACCTATTTTCTATGTCCAAATGGTTACCGTAGTTAAAATACATGCTATT